GACACTCAGCTCTTGCTCCGTGGGCCGGGAAGGCCGTCCCTGTCGCGTGGCGGTCTCAGTTCTGCCGCCTCTCCCATCGCTCTGTGCCGTCTTAGCGCAGGGATGTTGGTCCAAGGGCTCACTCCACTCGCGGCTCTTCTCTGGATGGCAGTGAGATGCCCCTTTCTGCCTGTGGGGGGGCTCATGTTACGCCTGGTGGATGGTAACACTGACCAATCCCCTTGTCAGGGTCCCACACACCTTATTTGCATGGCCCCTCCCGCACAACAGTAAATGTACCCCATTTACTTCATTAACAAAATATCCGATCCCGTTGGTGGGCCACAGCCCCTCACATTTGCATAGTCTCCCCCAGTCATCTAGTGGGAGCTACAAAGACCACTGCTAAAAAAAAAAAAAAACCCATTGCCATCCAGTCGATTCCGATTCTTAGTGACGACCCCCACTGGGTTTCCAAGGCAGTAATATTTACGGGTGTAGATTGCCCGGTCTTCCTTCCATGGAGTGGCTGGTGGGTTTGAACCTGCAGCCTTCTGGTCAGCAGTCACATGCCTTAGGCACTGCACCACCAGAGCTCCTTAAGACCACGGCTGGAAGAGCCCTATAAGTAATTCCCTGCACCACCAGTCCTCTTGGAGCACAGGAGACGTCACGGGGTTGGCACAGGACGGGCCGGTGTTTGGTTCCCGGGGCGTGGTGGCATGGCAGTGAGCCGCAGCCGGCTGGGTGGCAGCTAAGGACAGTGTTTAGCCCACGACGGTCCTGCTGAGAGAAGGGAGCCAGCTATGACTCTAGTTACCTGACGTCCTGACCCTGTGACCCGCAGGCCCCGCGAGGCCCCTCCCTCTGCCTGGGACGCCCCCGGTCTCCCGCGGCTCCGTGCCGGTGCTCCGCGCCTTCGGGGTCACCGACGCTGGCGTGTCCGTCTGCTGCCACATCCACGGCTTCGCGCCCTACTTCTACACCCCGGCGGTCCCCGGTGAGCGGCCCCTCAGCTCCCCGTCTGCGCCCGTGGCATCTGGAGGCGCCGTGACTTCTGACTCGCCCTCCTGTCTCCAGGGTTTGGGGCCGAGCACCTGGCGGAGCTGCAGCAGGAGCTGAATGCGGCCATCAGCCGGGACCAGCGCGGGGGCAAGGAGCTCTCGGGGCCCGCTGTGCTGGC